AATTTCGAGACTATCCTTCAGGGTCTCATTTTACACTAAAGTTAGACTAGTAAACTGCTCTCTTCTTCAAAGTAGTGCACAATCAAACGCACACACCCCACCGATCTAACCAGTCTTTTACGGCATGCCACACTTGAAAAAGAAGACTCACACTGAGAGAAGAAGAGAATCTGCAATAGTCATCCACAGATTAGGTAATAAAACATATAGGCGAGAAACTGTATAAAGTCATAACTGCAAACCAGGTTAAGAGTTAGACATCATAAATGATAATTTTGCATTCATTAGTGTAATCTTACCTAAGCAGCGGAACGTCACTATAAATAATCAGCCTTGTTAGGCATGGAAGGCTAGGTGATTCGAAGATGCTGGCAAGAGCCTGCTTTCCTATCAATAGACAGACAAAGCTGTACCATAAATATCCAGAATTGGTTGGTGTAGATTCAACTTATAATACAAACAGCTGAAGGTAACGTTTTGAAACAATGATTAAAGGGATAGATGTCAACAATCTTTACTCGTAATGACTTATAATTTTCGTCACGGTTGCCTTATAATATTCGCATGGAATAGGGAGCAGTTCACATCAGATGCCATATGAACTTTTGAATTTTTTTAGACAGATTACATTACTGACGAGCAACACAGCTATCCGTTATTGGTTACGTACAGACTGAATTATCCATGGTTCTACTGACACAAAGGCAAACAAATAAAGTACTTCGTGTGTTGAATTTTTACTCTACCTTTTACAAAAAAGCAAGTTTGGGAGAAATGTAGGGCAGGTGCAAAATTCAGACCAAAAATCTAACAGATAGAAGCAATTATGATGTTTAGTCAAACGTAGATACAGTGAATGGTAATACCTTCAATAATATTAATTTTCAAGTTCCATCAGTATTTAGAATTGTCATCTGACCGGACAGGAACATGCGTGGATATCTTTAAGCCCTGCTCGATGAACTGAAGACATTGAGCCTGAAGGAAGAATAAACAATCGTAAAGAAATTTCTAATCATATAGATAAGTGTTAAGGATGGATCGTGGCTAGCAGCGGAATCCAGGTTGCGGATTTTGTCCTATTTGGGACTCGTCAGCTGGATGTACCCGCTCCCCAGTGAGTGGTTGTTCCCACCGGGATTCGAACTCGGGAGCGATCGCCCCAAATGTCAGCGCGTTGCCCACTACACCACCGACTGCGTTGTATAGAAACCCTTATACATATAGATAGATGTTTGGAAGGATTAGATGCTTTTCATTTGTGTTGAAGGTGTAGAACAAGTAGGGATAAAATTGTCAAAAAAGAATATAGAGGATGCAATAACAAAGATGAGACGTCAAAAACGGCAGCTATAAACGCTTACCAGCTCCAGACCTTTCGTGGTAAAAAACAATTTACGCAAAACCTCAAAAGAAGAACAATAATATAAGCTGGAAATGAAGCATCCATCGATGTTCTTCTGGTGAATAATTAGCATAGGGTTGAAGTTGGTCTTAGATTTTGTGGATGTATTTTCAAAATATTCACAACAAGTCTTTACCATTGTCAACAATGGACTCAGGTACATTTTGAAAAGCTGGTCATATTTCATACTTTCCTACTTGAAATTTGTGGTCAGTTATGTTACTACATATTTCTAGCGTTGATCTAAGTCAAAAGTTTCTGGAATATCGGTAAGTGCGTAAGTGGTTTTCTTTGTAAGACCCTGCTACCACTAAGTTGGTGAAATGTACAATATTAGATCACATTTTCAACGAGTTTAAAAAGAACTGGAACTAGATTTCAAAGTGATATCACAACTAAGGTATGTGTAACCTACAGAAGAGTTCTGTATATGTGAAGCAAATAGTTCACCTCCCGAATATGTTTTCATCCAAAGTAAGTCCATATTCCAGTTTATCTCTCACTTTGTTGTATCTTCCAGAACTGCGATATCCGGAACCTTTCAAACGAAGACATGGCTATATGAAAAAAAGCTTTTAACAAATCTTTGAAGAACTGTGTTGAAATATACCTTTACATATATTTACTTTTTATTTCAACCTGTTGTACATGTAAAGAAATGAGTGCTTGTTTCGACATTAAGCACAAAACCATGAATGATCCTAACTGTAAATGATGAAAGAATGAGTGTCTGCTGCCAGCAGTAAGAATAAAATGATGTGTTTGTGGGATGTATCTTTTCTAAGATATATATGATACAAAACACATTTTGGTCTTTATTATACCTAAAGTGATTTAAAAGTTGTGATCAACCTGGATTCATATAACTAAATAAGGAAGAATTAGCACAGCTAAACGAATACAGTTGTCTAATTGAAGTTGGTGTATGTACAATTCTGGATTGCATAGACTCAATTTATGAATGCACTTAAAGACTGATAAATGTCATCTAAAAAATATGAGATGGAAGTTATGAAAAATCACATGGTTAATATATCCCTTGGGTTGCAGTTAGAAGCTGTGATTTTCTTTGTAACGTTGAGTTCCAAGTTTTTTTTTTCACAAGACGGCACTTTACACAATCCAATGTAATGCATACTGTCCAATTATAAAGAGGTACTATTGATGTTAAGCATGTATAGCCATCTACTAACAAATGAGTAAGTTATAACTAGTGATGAATGAACGTTTCATATCTCAAACCAACTTATAATCAATGCTCTTCATGTTCTTCACCTACAAATGCACCAAAAAACATTTCAAAAGGCTAACAATGCCAGATCGATATGTATTACTAATCCATAAAGTAGCTAACTGTTGTTCTAAACTTTGGAGATTGGTTAAATTTTCAAAGAAGTTAAGAGTCGATGGCCAGATACTCTTCGTAACATAGCTCAAAATCAGTCACAATTGCATAGATGTCATTGTCAGAGCTTTTTAATGCACTTATCAATCATCTACTTTTTTTATCATTTTTGCTATGAGATAAAAGTATTATGCTGCTGTGAAATCATCAGCTAAAGTCAAGTCCTTTCCTCCCCTAGACAGCAAGTATAATAGTCAAGATAAAGGGTAAAGTTAACGAGAGTGAAGTCGTGAGCCAGTAGAACAATTAACAACAATAGTCAAAAGTTATATTAATAGCATCTCCTACAGCATCATAAATTAGACATTAAGATGATGAAACCTAATATGAATGAAAATAATAAGTATTTGAATTAATATGCATTTCCGACAATTTCTGCTCATGTTCAACAGGTATGTGCTCATGAATGTCATCACAAGATTATCAGTATAGAGCCTAGTAAAAATTATATTTCAAACTGAAAGTAGAGTGAGTGGATGGAATGGAATGCAACTGCAGCCAAAATTACGTAATGAACTATTGCTGACTAATATTCGACTACACGCATAACAGATAGTCAATTATCATCTAAAACCCTGGTTGGAAAGTAATTTATATGAACTATGGTCAAAATTTGACGCGATAGTACCGGATATATCAAAAGCTGAGTAGATATTGGTTTCATCATATATATATATATATATATATATATATAATGTTCTTTGAAATCTTATACAAATACGTTGCTGTCTGTTTTTCAGTCACTAATAGTACCTATTCACAGATGGCAGACTGTCATTATTACGAGTTTCACCTCAGCTATACAGTGGTAGACATAAATACCTTTTATCCGTCATCTGATTTTATTTAAGAGATATACTCCCCGTCAAACAAGACCTGAATTTCAGTAATCATTACAATCAAGAAGCTTATTTTCTGCAATTTTTTTAGTTATGTAATTGTAAGCATCGTTCTCCAAAATAATAATCCCAGCTAACTTTCACTAAGTGCGTAGAAGTGAATGCATTCAGAAAGCAGAAAAAAAATTATTTTCATGAAGAAGGCCACGATGTATATTAAGCATGATAATGCCTCAAGAAGACATATTCTAACTCAAAAGAAGCCCTTCGAAAGCTCAAACATTTGTACTTTCGTGTGTTTTTAGTATACCACTTTATATCGGACTTTGAGTTAGTTTAAAAATCCAAGGACCACGTGATTTGCATCGCGGTGACGACTGCCGATATATTTTTCATGTTTTTATAATCCCTTTTATGAATTTTTGTGAATACGACATCTATGTACCCTCTTTTGATTTTATTCTATGGTTAAACCATTAACTGAAATTGTAACAGTAAAACAGTAACTAATTTCCCTCGTAATCGTGTCCGTAATCTGAGCAGTAGTGTTTGCATGGCACGAAACGGATAAGAAACCTTGAAGCTGATTATCTTCAAGCTGGCGATGCCTCATAAAGACTGAACTTTCAGATGCATCCGTCTTATTCATTTGTTCCTTTTTTACTAACTGTTAAGAGCAAGTTATGCTGAGATATAACGAGTGGTATTTTCATAGTTAGATGAAGTGGCAGGTTCCAGTCTTTCCACAGGATCCTTTTTCAACTACGATCACAATCGTCTTACTGAAAAGTTCAAATAAATCAATGACACGATATTTAAGTGCCAAATTACTTATATTTGACCATTACTACAGTAAACTGATTATATTCACCAGACACAGAAAGGAAATTCTATAGCATTTGTTGAGACAAAAGACTTCATGTTCAAATAGTCTTTCCAATACTTTCTAGAATAATAATTGCCCCAGTGAATTATGGTTGAAATAAGTGAATGAAGTGTCATTCTTTCATGCTAGGAAATTTGTAAACCATAATTTCAGTCGTCATATTTTTAGACTAAGCGTTTAATAACGTAATACACACCTTCAACTAGAAAAACTTTTCAATGTTCAAGGCGTAACTACACATTTTAAACATTTCATTGGTTGAAAATATCCTGTTTAACCTTGACATTGAGATGGGGGTGGATACATAAATGACCTAGATAATAATTGTCTAAGAAAATGTTCAATTAAAATGTATCTAATGTTAAGTGTTAAGTTGTATCAGTGCCATTTTCAAGTATAACCATAGTTTGCTATGCTCTTCAACTATCTGAAGTGTTGTTTCACTTAAATCATCTCTACTGAAACATGATCAATATAGCTGAAGGGATTAATAAAAAGTTAATTGCAGTTAAAATAAACTTCTTTTTTCAATTTTGTGGTGAGTTTAACATCTGAAAAGTGAACATTTAATTTGTTAGCAATTGCTGCTTTATTTGCATATATGAGTCCAATACTTGCCACATACGGTTTGAATTCATACCAATTGGGTGTTACTACCCTGTTTGCAAATGCATGTTCAAGTGTTTCGAGAATAATTTTTGGTATGATTGTTGATCGAACAAAACATCGTAATTATGTAAGTCTCTTTTTCTTCATATTAAATTGCATAATTTTCGTATACATAAAAGGCATTCATAATAAAATTAAGTTATAAGAGTAAATCATATTAGGTTATAATGATCCAAATAAATGTAGTCAAGTAAGAATTAGTCACAAGATTCAAAGGATGAAGAAATGTGCGAAGAAAGGTGAACGCTTAGAACACTGATGGATTATTGTAGTAATGTTCTGCACTGAACATGTATAATATATATGTTAATCTTGTTTTTATGAAGATATGATTAAAATTTACTCAGTAACAGTTTGTAAATAATTCTCGAACTATACTATATCTTGAGCTGAGGTAATTTATGTAATTTACTTAAATATCAGACGTTGATGAACCTACGCTGTCAGCATCGATTTCTTAGTGTATGAATTACAGACCTCAAAAATGATCCTTTTCCATGAGGAATATATCTAGTAGAAATTCCACAACTCTGTTTGTAGCCCAATGACTTTATGAAGGTATATCCAGTTGTGTTTTTATCTTTCTGAGAAATAATCAGCTCTACCTCTAATCGAACTGACATTTTAAGCACACTTAGATGATTAACGAGTATCAACAGTACATTTGAGGGTCAGTTTATCCATGGAAACCAATAAATCTGTGTTAATCGCATTCATTACTCACAACTCATGGCAATAGTCCCTTTTTTCTATTTTATTCCTATTCAAGTTTAATTTTATGACTTTTGATCAACTTTCAATTGCTCATAAGAAATACTTTTTTATTTTTAACTTGAACGAAAATTCATTTTAACAGTATAGGAACAGACTAAACAATGTCTCAATATTGACAAGGTTTATATGTTTCACCAGTTGTGGTTTTGTTTTCTCCTTTCACCAGGTCGTAGAATAATTACCTCAAAGTATTGCTTTTTTGGAAAAGCGTTCGTTTTTACTAAAGATCATTTCTGATAGGATTTTACCTACAACTTAATGTTCAGACAACGTAGACAAAATAAATTCCCATGTTAGATTTGTTTATTTGATTTATATTGGGCTACCACAGGGTGATCACTGGTGCAAATCCGGCCACAACCCAAAGTTCATCTCACCTTCAATCATTACCCAATATAAATAGTCTGCCAATCTACGGCTATCTCAAATAGTCAAATGATATTTGATTTTATAACACAGTGAGACAGTATATTTACTTGATGACGTTTCAAGCATTAATTATTGGTCATAATGATATCAATGTAATTACACTACTTTCAACATCTATTTTTTATAGTCCTGTCACCTCTTGTTCTTTGTTTCTATTGATAGTAAAATTTTCCATCTCTCTGGTGTAAGGGTTGCAACATTACTACTACATGTGTTGAGTGTTGATTCGATGAACAAAGATTCAGTAATCAGTCTCACTGTCCACCTAATTATGTTGAACTGACTTAAGTACAGTGGTTTTATACCACCCTTTCGTGTGTTAATGGATGCATTGCAGTAGCCAAGTTTTTATAGATTATCGATCTTATTCGGGTCTGTCATTCTGCATTTAACTGAATTCCTATGTTCTGCTGTTTCAACTGACCCCAACAGGTTGGTTTCACCTATGTACTTGAACGCATGACCATTGCATGAAATTTAATAGATTAGATTATGTTGCTTAATTGGTTCTAAGGGATCCTTAAGCCAGCCGACAAAGTTTATCTGTGAGTGAGTTTGTAGGTTTAGATGCCACCGTTATTCTAGCTTTGTTGAGGATCCTACATGAAGTTTCTGATGTTCCTTCCTTATAGGGTAACACAATGGAGGCTGTGAACTCCTTTCTACTTGTGTTGTCGTTATTATTCTTACTCCTGTTACTGTTATTATTTCGGAATCTTTGTTCATTGAATCAACATCTAACCCAACACATGTTTTAGAAATGACGCAACGCCCATACCAGAAGTATGGAAAATTTTACTACCAACAGAAACAAAGAATAAGAGGTGACAGGATTATGAAAAGCAGATGTTGAAAGTATTGTGATAACATTTGTATGATTATGACCAATAATTAATGCTTGAAATGTCATCAGGTAAATAATGCTGTCTCACTGTGTGTTATAAATCAAACAAACAAATCTGATATGGAATTACATTCTACCACAGTGCCCAAATTTCAAACTTATATTTCTAGACAAAATAAAAAAGTGGTTGTAGTTAATCAATCACTGATTTATTCAAACCATTTCATATAACTTGTACAACTCACAGATCAAGTAGTAAACTGAAAACAAATGAAAGATCTCATTAGATAGGTGAGTACAAAACAAAGCATCTTTGCTCGAAAAGTGTCAACTTTACTTTGTGATGTTGCTTGCACTGAAAGTGAAGGAAATGAATTCAAAATTTCGATGTGAAGCAAAACCATCCCTAGGATATAAAGTCAAAAATTGTGGATATAAAAAAGTATAAGAGGTTTGGAACCTTCTGACACAAGTCCCAGAACAAGAAAATAAGCTGTTGGTTGACTTGTTCTATGATAAACTCCATCTGTTACTGACTATAAGCTTGTTACTGTACCACCTTCCAATGATTTTTGTAGTATCCTTGCATATGCACAAGAAGCATATCAGTTTGAACCAGCTTACATTTATGCGATTCTTTAGGTTGCTTTTTCATCTGAAGAAAACCTCTTTCATTTCAGATGACCAATTCTTTTTAGGTTAGTGTTTTAGGTTTCTCGATTAAAAGTAAAGCTGTATAACACAATTATGTAATATCCTAGCATCTCTGTTATATTCTTGACTTTGAATATTATAAACCACAACAAATCATAGCAACGAAGGATATTACCGATCGGATTGAAATATAGTGAGGAAATTAAGTTAGTGACTTCGCTTCACTAAAATATCATTCGTTTTGTGTAAACATGAGGTATATTGAAGTGATTATACATGAATGTACACAAAAACAGCGTTTATATAAGGACAAACAAAGTAAAAGCGCAGATGGAATGTTTAAATTATATTATATCAAAAACTGAATGAAGTTCGGCTTGGGTTGTCAGCATGTTAGTGATTAGTCACTGCAGGAGGTGATAGTTCAGCTTTAATTCACGTTGTAACTGTGTGTTCATAGCTAACTTTTCTACGCTGTACTCTGCATTCAATCTCTCTTCAACTACTAACAAACTTTACAATCGTTCCGCTTTCTTAAGTTCCATCTTTTTGTGGCGATGGGCAGAGTAAGACGTTCAGCTGATATCATTACTTTTATTGGCTCTGTGATACAATTGAACCATTTAGATATCCAGAGAGAAAAGACTAGTAATGAGGAGCTTGGCCAAATCGACAAGTGATCATATAAGTGCCTAGTTAAATTTGCAACCATACAAACTCAAATTAGTTCTAGTCACTTCAGAAACCGATAAAACCAGAGGAAATTTTCGATATATTCAGTGTAAAAGTAAGATAAAGGCATGCAAGAACAAGTTATGTAAACAGAAAGCTTCGAAAGTGGAGGACATTTCAAAGTCTTGGTGACGAAAGCATGGATAAATCTCGGCCACTGATATCCTTTTTAAAAAGGAAATTAATCAGGGTCTCCTAACACCTATCACTATTAATATAATTATTAGTTGTCCCTTGGATTCCTAGTGGAACATGGGGATTCGCCAGCGCATCTCCATTTCATTTTTTTCTATGCAGCCTTTTCAACCTGGCTAAACGACTACCTACAAACTTTCGTTTCTTCCTCACATGATCTCCTCCATATCACCCTCTGACGCCCAACTCGTCGTTTCCTATGCGGCTTCCACTCGAAGGTCTGGCCTGTCGTGTGATGTCCACAGTCGGTCTTCTCGGGGTACAATAAAATCCATCTCCAGTTTCTTTTGCATATTTGTTGGGTGACAGGTTGTTGGTCGGTTTGTTGCCAGAGCTCCTTGTTGCTTATTATTTCTGGCTATCTGATCTTCAGTATCCAGCCAGCGTAGGCAGCTGTTGATGAATGTGTAGAGTTTGCTGAGAATGCTTTTTGTAACGTGCCAAGTTTCTAAACCATACAGAAGCACTGACTTGACTAAATTGGTGGTGAAAATCCGGATCTTGTTCACCCCTTATGTTGAGTGAAGTGGAGTGCAGTAGACCTCCACACTGACTTTAGAAAAATGAAGGCCTGTCTTGCTTTTCCGATTCTGGCTTCGACGTCCTCATCTGTGCCGCCTATAGTTAAAAGGATGCTGCCTAGGTAGATGAAAAGGGTGACTTCCTTTAGGTTTCTCCCGTTGATGGTGACTGAAGCTTTTTGTTATTGGTGGTGGTGTTGGTTGAGCACCTTCATCACCTCTGGCTTCTCTACGTTCACATGAAGTGCCGCCTTCTCTGTTCTGCCTCTTCTGCCCACTTATTGGTTTTCGTCTGTAGGTCTTCGAGCTTGTGCAACACTAGAGATAAATCACTATCAGTGAAATCCAAATCTTCTTCTGGGGTCTTTTCATCATTCAAACGGCGTGTGCTCCTCTTCTCGTTCCTCACGTTTCTTGCATGATCCAGTCGACCACAGTCGGGAAGATGATATGTGATAGTAGGTGGCAGCCTCGTCTTACTTCTGTCTTGACTTCAAAGGAGTCGCTGAGCTGCTTTCTATTGTGAGTCACTTGGCATGTAGTATGGTATATCATATAGCTACTGTTGAGTGAGGTCGATAAAGGATTGTGGCACTGGAGCCGTAGTGTTAAAGCAGCAGTTGCCAAAATGTTTCTCATTTGACGCTGTCAAAGGCCTTTCCAAAATCGATGAAGTTGAGGTTAGGTTGAGTTGAGTGCCATTCTACGCTCTGTTCCATGATGAAGCGTAGTGTTGCAATTCGGTCCACGCATGATTTGTACTTCCAGAATCCAGCTTGTTTCGGTCGTAATTTTGAATGCGAAGCATATTTTAGTCTCTCCAGGATGATGCGGCTCAATATTTTGTTTATGGTGGACAGCAGTGGAATATGATTCCACGCCATTTTTTGCAAATACTTATGTCTCCCTTCTTTAGGTGTTTGACAAGGAAGCCCTTCTTTCAGTCTTCAGGTATCTTTCCTTCCTTCCTTCCCTCCCTGCAAACCTTCTGCCATCAAGGTGTGAGTGTGTCCGCTGTTGTCTCTGCATCGGCTTTCAGTGCTTCTGGAGGAATTCCATCTGGTCCTTCTGCTTTCCCGGATTTCAGCAACTTTATGGGGCTCATGACTTCACTTCTGCTTTTGTCGGGGGGCTTGTGTTCACTGATAATTGTATGTATGGGCTGCTGGTGGCATTTCTGGACTAGTTGGAGGTGGTGCTGGCCGATTCAAAAGATTTTGAAGTGATCGACCCATTGTTTCCTTTGTTTCTCTCTCCTCTTTGGTAACTAGGTTTCCTTCACTATGCCTCATCGGTTTCATCTGCGTTGATCTCTTCCCCATCTCCTAGATAGTAACCTGGTTATTTGATATAGTGTTGTCAGGTTTCTCCTGCCTGCAGCCTGTTCTGCTTCACCTACCAATGTGTCGTAGAAGTGTCTTTTGTCTTTCCATGCACTCTTCTTCACTTCTTTGTCCAGCGTTTTAGACGTTGCACTCAGTTTCTCTTCTGGTCGTTCATCCCTGCCTGCGCTGCGCTGCACTGCACTGCACTGGTTCATCTTCTGCTTCACCATCTTCCATTCTCTGCTCTATCAGCTTCCATGTGTCCCTGGAGATCCATTCCTTGTCTTGTTTCTTCTTCCTTCCTAACACGGTCATGCAGGTTTCCTTGCACATCTCTTGCAAAGAGTTCCAGTGTTCTTCCACACAGGTTTCTTCATGGATATTGCTCAACGTCTCCCACTTCTTCCTGATGGCTGGCGGGAAAATGTTGTTTGTAGTTTCGTCCTTCAGTTTCTGTTCAGGGTGTTGAACTTCAACTGTGGTCTATCATCACCAGCTTCTTTGAAGACTTTCAACTTGATTTGGAAGGTTCCTTGTACTAGGTGGAGAGTTGAGTGAACCTACATCTGCTCCTCTTCGTGATCTGATATTGTGTCCAGTAGTCTGTATCTCCACTTTCTTGAGATTGAGATGAAGTCGATCTGAGTTTTAGTGTGCCTGGTATCTGGTGGAAACAAATTCATGTCGCTGCCTTGTGAATATCCTTGTGCCTGTACACACTGCCTCCAATCACCAAATCACTAAATGGGCAGAAGTTTGCAAACAGTTCTCCATTCTAATTCATCACTTCACTGAGTGTTTCTCCATTCATGATTGGTTCTCTTCCTGTGTTGTCTGCTCCCAGTTTGGCATTCATGTCACACCACTCATCAGAATTTTGATGTCGCCATGTGGGTGGGGTCTTGTCCAGTCCAGTGCTGATTGCAGTTGTCTATTGAATTCCTCCTTCTTCTCTTCGTTCGTATCTGCATTATCTGTAGGTGCGTAGTGTAGCATTGTATGACTGTAACTTTCTTTCCTTTTGATTTGAATCCTGCTATTATGATCCTGAAGGAGATCGGTTCCCACTGCATGAGGGCCTTCGATGCTGTTAGGGATATCATGATAGCCACTCGAAAACTCAGTGTGCTCGTGGTTGTCGTCTGGATGAGAATATCGGAGTAGATAATTGACTTTTCAGTTGACAGTTTGGAGAGTCCACTTCCATTCCATCTGCAGATTCCTTGCAGATTCACACCCTAGCACTTTTATGTTATATCATCTCATCTCCTTGGCAGTCTGGGCAGGCTTGCCAGCCAGCTTCAAACATCGTGCAAACATTCCATATCCTTGTGTTTACTTTCGCTTTCATCGAGCGAGAGAGAAGACACAGCTTCCAACTGGCTTCTCGACGGCTTTCACCAACTGGCGTCATTTCGTCTCTCCGATTCTAGCAAGGAATACGTTTAATTTTATTTTATATATTTTTCTTGTGCTTCGAAGTTTGTTCAGTGGTTAGATTGGTTTTCCGGAGTGGTGTTGCTAGCCCGATGCCCAACCTTCCCTCTTTATCCGGACTTAGGACCGGGCCTAGTTACCTAGGCAAGGTTAATTTGACACTTTGCTAAGTTGATTTTAACTAACATAGACGATTTGAAGTATAAGTGACGATATGAATGCGAAGATTTCTTGTCTACAGAAATATAAATAAGAGGTTTAAAAATCATATATTTCATCTCCTTGACCTGCAATATATATATATATATATATATAATGTGGATTTTGAATATTTCACTAAAAAAGCTAACAGCAGACCTTTGTACGAATCGTTGAAATTTCTTATTTCGCACACGCTGACATTTGTCCAACACAACTTATTTATATCTAATAAAAGTTTCTTGATTAGCGTTTTGAGGAAATTTTTGAAAGCCTGATTAGAATTAGTCAAAGTTTACATGCCACTTTTTCAAATAACACTTTCTTCATAGTTACTGAGTGAAAAGTTATCCACCGTGAAATCTGACGGTACTTGGACCGGTTAAAATTAAGGTTATATGTGCACAGTGCTAAGCAGCCCTAAACAACGACGATCAGTCTTTCAATAACTCTACAGTTTTCAATTGCTCTCCAAATGGAGTCAATCCATAATGAAAATTCCCGTGCAATCAATAAACCTCCTAAACCCTAGTTTGAAACAGCTTTTAGTTCCAACAATCTTCAAACAGTTTTATTGTAAGATCGCTTAGAGAGAAATATTATCCTCACCTAAATTAACAGTTGCTTAAAATTATTACGAAAATGTTTTGTAATCACTACTAATCAGCGACAAACGGAGTCTCGTATTTGGAGAAGCAACTGAACCTTCTAGAACCTCTTCAACGGAATAACTGGCCTTGTTCTCAGGTTTACACAGAACATCTTTGATTTCCCACTCTTCAGTATGACTAGGATATTTCGATTCATTTAGTTTTCTGAAGGCAAGCAATCATGATATTCGTTCCCAAGTTTTCAGTTTTCCCAAACTTCATCACTGTTTTGAAATATACATCTAACTGCCTAATTCCAGGCAACTATTACTTAATTGGTAGTAAAGTGTGTAACTTAATTCTTTTCATGCACCTCAAGGTAATTGGAATTATTTTCATGCATCCTTATTGTCACTTCTATCAAATTCGCTTTGCTGATGTCTTTTTTCATCAGCAATTACTCAAAGCTTAAGGTACTTGTGTCTTGAATATTTTCTATCTCCTGGACAATCAAAGCATTCGTGTGATTGCAGCTATTCTTTCTTGTGTCGCCTCGATCTAATTAACACTTAATTGATTCTAGACATGAAATCTTTAACTAAAAATGCGTTGTCGATGGCTTAATTCTTTAAAGGGTAGAGTTATGGGTTGAATGCATTCTAATATCGATAAAAAGCATTTGTGTATCTGCTTTAAGAGGAAAACCGTGAAAACCTTGAAGAATTAATATTCTATACAACAAATATGATTTAATAAAAAAATTCTAATATTCTATATGAAAATCATCAGTTTAGAGAGTTGACTTTTAACCAGTGGTTCATGGGTTCGAATACTGCTTCACCTACTGACTATCGAATAGCCAGGTAGTATCATTAGCCCTCATACAATACGTGTAGCTCATTGTCTACTGCATGAATGTGCACAAGGTTAGTGAATGAGTTTCGATTTGATATGAAAGCCAGTATACTTCAAAGATAAACCTCAACAGGTGTGATACTCATCCCGAAAGTCTCTTGTAATATCCCTTGACACGTAGATAGCCTAATTCCTTGTTGTCTAGACGTAGCATTTAAGTATTCTATACTGTATAATTTTTCATGAATATTAAAACCGTGTTAAAATGATAATATGTTGGGGTAGTATTCACTGCGGACAGACATCAGTTGAGGAGCTATTAAAAACCTGGGAGCACTGGACAGCTGTTTCGCCCTGGTATGAGACTCCTCAGGAATACGTACCCGTGATCCGGTTAGGGATGGTTAGCGCGTTCACCGTGAAAAATAAAGGCCTCGAATCCCATCCCTAGTCGGACCATGGAAGAGTCCCACAGTGGGACGAAACAGCTGTCCAGTGTTCCCAGGTTTTCAGTGCTTCCCCAACTGTTGTCACCCCGTGATAAACACTACTTTAAAGTTAAAATCCTTTTCATCTCAATGATAACATATGTTAGAAAAACCCTGTCATATGAAGATTTCATAATTCAGCTTACAAGTATACTTTTCTCAGTATTTTTCATTTCTTCATTAATAGTTTTTTTGTCATTCTCAAGGTTTTAATGGCACTATCATCGGTATCTCTGGGGCTGATGCTACTGATTTTCACAATACCAAGAAATAAAGAATACTTATTTCATGGAAATATGAATGAGAATGGAGAGTTTTTAATTTATCTAACGTCTGTGTCAGAGAATAACTCTAAGACTGAACATATTATGTAAGTAGAATTATTCATTTCATTTATATTTCTTTCTTTCTGTAAGTAGTTTATTTATTTTCACGAATATTCCGTCTTGACTTATGATTCGCTACTGAATACATCTTTTCAAGATCTTATAAACAATGGAGTAATCTGACTCATCACCACCGAACTGTAGTCTATTCAACACTCAGATATTTTTATTTTCAATTCCAATTGGAATAGACGGGAGCTCCGTCAAAAAAATCATTGTTAACTATCCATTCCTGTAAATGTTTATCTAGAACGGTATCATTTGACTATCTAAGATAGGTGTAGTTTGGCAGTCTAGTATTTATACTGGGTGATGATTGAAGGTGAGATGAAAATCTGGACCGCGGCTGGACTTGAACCAGCGACCACCTTCAATCATCACCCAGTATAGAACGGTATCTTCGAATCACTAAGAACCTTTGTGACATTAAACTCAGCATTTTTACTGCATAGTGTAATAAAAAGTAGCTAATGTCGACACGTAAGACTCGCATTAGTGACCAATCTGAGCAGAAAAAAGGTCCTAATACCGAGAGGTCATGAAGAAAACTTACTAACAAAATTTTTACTTCAGACTAGTAGTGAGGCCTTTTGTATTGGGAAAAGACATTCTTTTTGGGACCCTCCTTAAGAATAAGTAATACAGATTTTACCTTGAGTCGAATGAAGGACATTCGTAGGTATCAGGATTTTACGAGTTAAGATAAACTTAGCACTAATATTGAAAAGGTACCCGTACAACTCTGCAATGAAAATACTGATCAATATGGGGTTTACAAACAGCCACTTGTAGTGGTCATTTTATAGGTGTTGGTTTTTGTGGAAGATTTAAAAACATTTATTGTGGAAGGTCTATTCAGTCACCTCATTACAAACTATATGTAAAGAATCATTATATAAATGTAAAGAATGTTTACAAAACTTTATTAAGGTTATTATCAGATCCTAGATGTAGAAGTTATATTGAAAATAAACGAATAAATGACAGTTTTGGTTAAATTATCAATGGTTAATGTGGATTGTTTTAACGATTACTGAAGGTCAACTTCAATTAGTTGAGTCAATGCTGGTACATTGTTTCCTAATGTAATAATATAAAGAGCAATCAACAAATAAGTCGTTTCTTAATACATTTAACGTCAAAGTTTCAGTTAAAATTATTACATGCTCACTGGTTACACTGTTGAGTTCCAAGGCTTGTACCTAATGGTAAACATAAATATTTAGGAGGTTAGGACAATAGTAGTTTGATAATGAGTGAACTTAAGTTTTCGCTTTACTATGCAAGCTACAGTGATTTTCACATTATTAACGTTAATCGAATGGTAGAAAATCTCCTCACTTGTTATACTTGCGCTTGCACTCACATCGTGAGTTTGATCAACTGCAGAAAAGCTTTTTACATCCCCTAAATAATGAAACAAGAACACAAATCAAACAAAACTGAGTCCTTTAACAGTTAATTAGTTCATTATAGCCAGTTTTGTATACTCATAATACTACAAAGGTACTTGTATGACATCTAACTGTGGTTAACAATGAATTACAAATCAGTCAACAATAGCTTCACTGCAAATATTTATTGTATTCGCCCTTTTCATTGGATTAGTTTACTTTCTAACTTATAGGATATCCTAACATTAGATAATTGTCAACTTTGTAGAAAGTTACTCCAACTTGGAAATGATTCATTTCTGATAACTAGTAAATATTATATGTCGTTGGTCATATCAAGTCTTAGTGGGGAAAACATCCCTTACTGAGAGGCAGGCACCGCTAGCTGATGATCCCAAAATAGGACCAAATGCGCGATCTGGGTTCAACTGTTAGTCACTATCCATCATTGATGTAAAAGTACATATTTAGTGTTTGTTACACAAAGATGTATTGTATCTATTCCCGATTAAAGTTGTCGTTGCAAGTAATTACACAAAAATTATCATCGTCAAAATCAACAGAGAAGTAGGCATTTCTGCATAACTGTCCAAGTTGCCACACCTCATATCAGTGCACTAAGTAACAAGGCAATAAAATGGAAGATGAAGAAGGAAGAAAAATTGGTCAAAAGGAGTAGAAAGTAGTAAAGGAGAGGAGGGAATTGGAAAATGAAAAGATTGAGTGTAGCGGTTAAGATGAGGATATTGTGCAAGAACATCTGCGCAACTGATATCATTTCTGAACCATATCATCTATAGTCTACAACCACCTGGCTCAAACAAATACTCAAGGACTTCAAGCGTTCATGCCATGCTTTAGTCTGGCCGTCCCGAGCCTTTTTCCAGTCTGAACCTACTTTGGCCAACATTGTTCGATGAGGCAGACGGTGGTTAGGCATACGTAACACATGTCACAGCAATCTCCTTCGATGAAGGTTCACAACCCCATCGACTGACTTTTCTCTCCTCCCCAAACATCTACGCTTGACTCTTGCGTTACTTACGTGTTTGCACCATGTAACACCGCCTACACTATGAAGGCAACGGTGGTCAAACACCTGAACCCTTCCCATGTTTTCTACCTTTAATGACCATTTTTCACAGCCATACAGTAGGACAGAACAGGCTGCAACACTGTAAAATCAACTCTTGATAGACAATCGGATATCGCAGGCGCTTCACAGATGGCGAGAGTTGGCAAAAGTCAACGGAGTTTTTGGAATCTGTGCAAAGGTTTCGGCGGCCACTGACCCACCAAAAATCATCCGACTTCCCAGGTAAGTGAAGTATTCAACGCAATCAACCACATCACTCTTTACTGCTGTCCAGGGCAGTGTTGAATACCAGTTGTGCAGCAACTGTTTTCATTTGGGTGGCGAGAAACGCATCCCAGACATTTTTTAATTACCACTCAAAGTGTCCCGACGACTCTACATCTTGTCAACGTCCTTACCTAACAGCACTATGTCATATGCGTATTCTGGGTCAACCATATATTCTCTCGTATTCACGTAAATAAACATTAAAAACCATATAGTGCTAAGTAGCTGTTTAGTCCTAGCTTGAATTTTCTTATCACTGTCTACTGAAAACGCCCCACAAAATCTGGTCTATGAAGTTCAGATCTCTCAGTGGACGCTTTGCTGTTGAGTCAGTGGGCCAGAAGCTATTAAGTCGTGTTTTCTATTTCAGTCTATTTAGAGTATAATGTGATCACTACTAACTTGCATCTATGGAGATTCGTCATCATACCCCAACTTGCATAACGATACTGTTAACAGCTTTTATTGGAACTCTATGAAATCTATCTGCGAGTTCGACAGTCTATTGGACAATAGTGATTTGTAGACTGTGATATCTAATCAAAGATAAGGATATAATTTTCAAATAAAACTTGACTTTTTGTTTGAGTTTGAGCGATTTGTTCGATCCTTTGACAACTTAGCGGTGATTACAAAATACAGTCTTAGACGGCTCATTTCATGATCAACCATTTGCTGTGGTCTGTCCAATTCTTAGTTTGTTTATACTGATCCAAGTCGAGTGTGCTAGGAAACTGGTACATTGAAAGAAAACAGATGCATGATCCTTTATCAGAAAATGAAGTTAGTTAACTTTTAGTACCTACATTGAACATTAAATCTAACTAACGGTCAATCTAAATTGTTTAACTAGTGGAGCATATTGTTAGAGGTTTATAGAATACAAATTTGAAAGAAGAATAGGATTATCTTTTAATTTCTAGTTGGTATTCGTCACAAACTGACATCAGTCGTAGAACTGTTGGAAACCTGGAAGCATTGGACAACCTTTTTGTTGTAGTATGAAACTCGACTTCAGGGACCTTATTTTCGCATTGCTGAGGAGTCCCATACTACGACGAAATAACTGTCTAATGATCCAAGGATTTCAATGGTTCTCCAACTGATGTCAGCTTGGGATGAATATCAAACTGAATTCGAGAAATGCCCACAAACCTCCAAACTGAATTACCATCCTTTATTTTACCTTTTCTTTATCATTCCCAAATGAATTAAAGAAAAATTTGGAGATGGCAACAAAAATTTTTACGAGGGTATTTTAACAAGAAATAAATATAAATAAAGATGATATTCAAAAATTTCATGTAACTGTTGTTTTGAAATAAATGCGGTTTGGCGCATTCAGATAAAATACTACTGTTATCACTACTCTTTACGTAATATGACTGAAGTACTTGACTTCAAATTAGTGAGGTATGAATAATTACCTACAATCTACTTAGAAGATCGAGGTTTGATTCTGTCATTGAATGGTAGTTTATTGAAGGGAAGCAGTCAGATAACTTTTTAAATGTTGGGTCTTATTGATAGACCAACATAAAGTACTCATATTGATTATTTAACATGACTGCTGTTAATACAGTGACACGTGTATACGGCAATCCTGATAGATATTCTACGACAGACCTCCAATATACTAGCTTTAGGATCGGTTTGATAGGACAATTAACCAAGCTGCTATTCAGACACACGTTTTTCTATAGAGTAGTTAAGTAAGATCTAGTTGGTATTTAATTCCTGTGGTTCAGGTTTTAGAGCGTCAGATGGATAAACGGAATGTTGTTGATTTTCAGTCATTTTTAGTGTTTATAACAGACAAGTATACAGTAAATAATTTATTAACAAATATTGAATTGAATACAAATGCCAACATTTCTTAAAATTTTGTACACTATTCAATAGTCTTATGATTTTTTGATACAAATATTTTATCTTACTTAAGTGATAGCTAACAAAACAATTGAAAAATGCGTCGATTATTGTGTTATTTTTTTCGATTCAATGTATATATTTTAAATATTAAGCCTTTAACCATTGATAAAATTACTTGATACAAACTAGAAATATGACACAATATACACAATTGAACATAGATAAATTCTACTTCCTCTACTCACAGAGTTTATTTAATTGCTACAATAATGTGTAAAATGAAAGTGAATGTCAGTTATTGTGAACTATTTTGACATTATTTAGTCTACACATAACACACCGGTCTAAGTAATTA